TATTTAGTGGAGTGAGCTGGTGATGCACACCCCCTAATACAATTGCCCTGCCCCCCCCCAACATTGATAAATATCACTCATATCACCTTATTTTGCAACTTGCAGACCCCTCACTTAATCATCGAATCCCCCATCAGTGCCCCCACCCCATTATGTTTCTGCCTCAAAGTGCGGAAGAACGGCACACTGACTTTTCCCTAATGGCACCTGGTCTCAGACCCACTTTGCTTACTTGCTCCACTTTCATTGGTCTTTTTTATTGGTGCATAGAGACTGCTGTATTCTGCGCCTTATAAATCCATTGATTGATTGATTTCAAGACTGCTACTGTAGGGGGGGCTAGCGGTTGATGGAATCTGTGTCTGTGCCAGCTCCCCATCTGCCTCAAATATATTTAAATATTTTATGTGACTGAAATTTTATGTAAGGCATTTGAAATTGAATAAAGAAAAATAGATAGATACAACAGTGGCTTTACCACCAAAACCAGAATTACATTTTATTGCTTATATGTTTCTTTTTTTGTTTTTTTTTCTACACATTGGATCCAACATTTAACTGTCTCATAATGTCAACAATTAATGTTCCTTGGTTTCATGATTTCATTTCAGAGTTTCTCTTGTTGTAACTGAAACATTAGACAGTGGTTTACTAGGGGAAGGCATTCTGGACATAATACACCATGCATGGAAACACCTGCTCCTTCCTCCAGATGAAAAGGTAACATTTGATTTGATTTTGGAATTTATTTATACAATTTTACTATTATTTTATTATTATTATTTTATTAATACATTTTTGTTATTTTAAAAAAATTGTTAAAATTTATAATTTTATCATTATTTTTTTAATAATTTTTGTTTTAATTTAAAAAAAAATGTTCTTCCCAATTTTTTTTTCATTCTTTTTTTTATTTTATTTTTTTATAACAAGCACATAAGACATATTGCATAGAAGACCAACAGCTAACATCCCATTCGAAAGATGGTACACTGTTGTTTTAACTTGTATTTCAGCCCTCCAGCTGAAACACAAGGTGAGCATCCATATGGAATTGAACCGGGGACCAAAGGACTTCCATTGTTCATTGCACACATTGGCTACCACCAGTTTAGCCAACTGATCTAAGCTGGTCTTGCAGCAATATCGAAAACAATATTTATATTTACACCTCCACATACTAATTTACTCATAATATTTATCAGTACTCTAAAATTCTTGTAAGTAAACCAATAATATGCGTACTGTGTTTGTAACATTTCAGAACTTCATCAGACAATAGTTTCAGGACTGATAAATGGTTGTAAATATGAAACTACTTCGGGAAACTTCAAAAACTAGCAAACAAGTCATTGTCATCAAAGCTCCGTTGATAACAGATCAAAACATTACAAACAGTACATATATTATTGGTTTGCTTGCAAGAATTTTTCATGTTTATACATCCAGAACCCAGATGAACCTATTTTAGACTATTAACCAAGTCGTGACTTGCTTTCTTCATTTCCATGTAGGAAGGAGGTGGAAGAGTAATTCCTAGCGGAGCCACAGTGTTTGCGATGTTAATTGAGTGTGAACATATAAGGAAGCATCATAGGTAATGTACCCTTATGATTATTATTATTATATTAGTTCCTGAGTGGTTGAGATATCATGAGTAGATTTCCCATACGATTTAAATCGAAACGGTACTGGGTTTGATCTACAGGAGCTCGTGTTCCGTACAGGTCATTCCATTCATAGAAAAAGCATTTAATGGTGAAAGCGTACCTGTCATTAGCCATAGTAGCCTAGGTCAGTACATAACACCGGCTGTATAAAATTTATTATAAAGATAGTGCTAATATTAATCTTATTGTAGTAAATATTATTTCCATGTTTGAAATATTGTTATATACTTAGTTAATGTATATTATATATAATTTGAATATGTACATTTTTAATTGATCTAACCTATGTAAGTTTACTTTTTGAGTTTATATTTAATTAATTAAAATTGTTTAGGTATTTATTTGAGAAATATATTATATGAAATAATGTAATCAATAAAGTTTATAGTAATATTAGTAATATTTAAACACAAAACAATAAGTAAATGATTTTACAATTAAGTTATTGTTTATTAAAGTGTACAAAAATAGACAGGAAATGGAAGAAAAGCAAAGAGGTCCGGAGTTTACTTTTTGAGTTTATATTTAATTAATTAAAATTGTTTAGGTATTTATTTGAGAAATATATTAAATGAAATAATGTAATCAATAAAGTTTATAGTAATATTAGTAATATTTAAACACAAAACAATAAGTAAATGATTTTACAATTATGTTATTGTTTATTAAAGTGTACAGAAATAGACAGGAAATGGAAGAAAAGCAAAGAGATCCTGAGTGGCTTAGAATTGTACCAAAAATTATATGAAAATGACAGTGGCTCATTATTATATTTTATGTGTTTGTAGTAAATTTTGGACACTATTCATCAGAGGTCACGGTGTCAAGCTTACACGTTTCGTAATTTGACATCGAATCCTTACCTCCAGTAAATTCCCCTACACAATTTATTATAATTTAAGGGAGTTGAATAAATTGTGATTGAACCATTATTATCTTTAAAAATCATGAAACATAATTTCTCCCTTCTCTACACAGCGTAATTTCCAAGTCCATTGGTGGCGTACTTCTAGACTTCACTATTGTCAGTCCATCAGTCAACCTAATGAGCGATAGTGGTATAACGGATGTGCGAACTTTTTTCTCGGAACCATACACATCAGAAGAAATCTGCTCTCTTCCTGGTGGGTACACCGCCCTCTCAAGTGTCAT